AAGCAACCAAGATGCCCTGAAATAGCAATCGGATCAACAAAGTATGATGAGCCATATGAGGAAATATTTAGCAATAAAGAGAAATGTGTCAGCAACAAGAAGACATGGTGGAAAGTATAGTGCCTACACAGGATGAGAAACACCAATCTGAAGGGCGCATACCATGTGAGTTCACCTCAGGACACTGGAGAGGCGAAACGGTAAACAGGGCAGAGATAAGGGGCTGGGGATTTAGCTCAGCGGCATAAGTGCCTGCCTTGCAAGCAGGCAGTCGTGAGTTCGATTCCTGGTACCGATAAAAACAAAAAAGACAAAAAACAAAACAAAACAAACAAACAAAAACAGGGCAGAGATCAGTGGTGAAGAGTCACCAACAGCTCCTGGGAAGTTGACATCCAGACAAGGACCCTAACCCCGCCTTCCCTGTGGGAGGAACTGCAGGTTGCTAACTCGTATTTCCAAAAATGAATTTTCAGGACAGACAGCAAGAGGCCTACAGGATTCATTAGGCAAGAATTTAAAAGTGCACACAGAAGCAAAGCACAGCCTTTCAGGGGGCACATTGTTACTGGAGCTAAGAGTATTTATGCTCCCCTTGACGGGGTGGAAATCTCAGGAAAGACCCATGCCCCAGAAGGATACTGGCCCATTTTACAGATATGACCCTAGGTTATTTTATTCAGTTGACAAATCCTTTTAATAAAGTATATTAGTGGCAACTTTGTTTTTCAATAAATACATTGCTTAAAAAAGTCATGCAAGAGAGGGGCTGGGGATATAGCTCAGTGGTACAAGTGCCGGCCTGGCAAAGTGCAAGGTCATGAGTTTGAGCCCCAGTACCAAAGAAAAGAAAAAAAAAATCATGAAGGAGCATCTTTTTGTAATTACTAAGACTACTGTCTCTTCTGCAGAACTGCTATGCTCAGATGCAAAATGACCAAAGGCAGATAGAATAATGACCCTCAAGTGAGTCACATGGCCATCATGTGCCATACTTTCCTCATTTTGAAGCTGTCTCTCTGTGTACACTAAAGCTTTTTCAACCCACTGTTGAACCCAATGGGCTCCTTAGATGTGCTCTGTCCAACCCTAAGTAACTCTGGATTATGAGCTTTGTGATTTTTATATGTTTATGAAAACAACTAACGAATTCCTGCGGAAACATGTCTGTACTGGTCCAAAATGTTTCTGCAGTCCCATCGACAATATTTTCAGGTGGATATTTTTTATGACTTGATGTGGCTAAAATCGTATCAGCCCTTTCAGAGCTCAAACAGAGATCAGCCTTTTTCCATCCTGGGGTTTAACCCACTCACCCGGGCCTCAGAGCTGCTCCAGAGCCAGCTTGGCCTGCCTGCAGCCTCGGGTGAGGCTCCAGTATTTTTTTAAAAAATGAATAATTTAATTATTCTCTGAATTGTCTCGACTTGCTCCTTTATCTTAGGATCAGGTTCCTGCTCTTTACTTTTTTAAACTAAGCCAAATATGGACTGCCAGTATTCTTGAGGAATTCAGGGTATGACGGGTCTGAAAGGAAAGGAGCATGAATTAACCAAGGCAGTGCCCACAGCGATTGCTTCGGGTGACTTTGGCTGGGTCTCAGGAGTGACAATCTCCCAGAAAGTACAGTTTTTAATTATGATTTTCCTTATCTCCTTTCTATTTTTTACCAAGCAACTTTTAGGAAAGTGAAATTTAGGAAGTATGTTAACACTGTAATAGTGAATCTGTAATAATATGCATTTGTCAAAATCCATAGAAATGAAAAAAAAAATCCGTAGAACATAAACAAAAAGCAAAGCAATGTACACTGTGGAGTTTTTTGGTTTTTGTTTTTTTGCAGTAGTACTGGGAGTTGAACCCAGGACCATCATGCTGAGCTACATCCCCAGCCTCCCCCCATCTTTAAATTTGGACACAGGATCTTGCTAGTCACTAGGTTCCCCAGTCTGAGCTTGAAATTGCAATCCTCCTGCCTCAGCCTCCCAGAGTGCTGGGATTACGGGTGTATACTACCATACATGTCTATAAACGATGGATTTTAGTTAGTAATGATGGGTCAGTCTTGGTTGATTGATTATAACCAGTGTATCCCCTTAATTCAAGATGTTAATAATCCAGGAAACTGGGTTGGGTTTGTTATAACCTATATATAAAAAACCCCTCATAAGTCTCCTCTGAGGCAAGAAAAAGATCAAAGGTAACTCTAAGAGCAGAACAGGATGTCTTCCTAATCTAAATTTGCTTGTTTGCAAGGTAATTTGCTTGTCTGCAGGATGTGCCTTCCCCCAGAGGATGTTTGCCTAATCGAAACTTGCTTGTTAGCCCACCTGAACCTTGCTCTTCCCAAGAAATGTAATCGCTGTGTTCCTGTTCTAAAGTGGGCCACCCCCCTCCTTGCATTGTGAAACCAGCAGCTGTTTGTGGTTTTACAAGATAAAAATCCTGCCCTTTAGCTGTTAAGGGCCCACCTCCATATTGGCTACCGGAGGCTGCAGTAGCCAGGCCTGGCCTAAAATAAAGCCTTTGCTCCGAATTTCTTTCTTTCTCTTTTTTGTCTTTTTTCTTTTTTATCAGTACTGGGGATCGAACTCACAACTTCCTGCTTGCAAGGCAGGTGCTTATGCCGCTGAGCTAAATTCCCAGCCTCACTCCAAATTTCTTAACTTCTTGCTTCCTTGGATTTTATTCCGGGGTCCAAGCTATCACAGGTTACATATGTGGAACTCAACTATTCATAGGAGAATTCCATAAGTCTAAAACTGTACTAAAAATAAAACACTATCTATTTATAAAATGGATGCTGCCCCCAATTTTCTGAGCCTAAAGTGTATGTACATAAACCCAGAGGCACAATGTGCTACGTATAAGGTTTAAATATATCCAGCACCTCTCAGGAACTCAGCTAACTAGCCATCGATGTAGAGGGACAGCTTCGCTTTGTGTCGTTTGGAACTTCGCCAAGATGATCAACATTTCAGATCTTCACGTCCCTCGTGGTCTGTGAGCATCCAGTTTCAGTGCATGCCCGGTGATATGTATATTTTTGTCACTGTGGTTTTATAAAGAGAAGCCAAGCAGCTGGGGTTTTGGGTGTCTGTTACAACGTATTCACAAATTATTGTATCACAAATGCTTTCCTTTATCTTCTGTAGTACACTTGGGATAGTTATTGACATTAACGTTTTCCATATATAGTTTTTGAAATGTCTGAATTGCATTACACGATAATGTGTGATTACAAGGATAACTGCGTCAGACTGCGCCGAGACCCTTTCCTGAGAAATGCAATCCAACCCCTTGCTCAGCCCTGGAGTCCCTACTGAGCAGCCCTGAAGTTGAAGGCTCACCCCCTCCTCCCACTCCAAAGCGAAGCCGGCCCAGAATTCGAAGGCAGCAGTCTCTCCGAGCCAGGCTTAGGACAGGCTGTCCTCTGCCGGCAATGCCTTCACTTTCTTCCTCCAGCACTCGACAAACCACGGCTCCTCAAACCTCCATGCTTTACCTCCACGTGCAGCCCCACTCACAGTTCTTTCCTTCGAATGACTCATTTCTCATAAATTGATCTTTTCCAGGAAAAGTTTGTATCACTATTATAAATAGGAAACCAGTCTGAATAGCTGTAAAAATAAAAGCAACCATAAAAAACGAATACAAGGGAAAGAACGTTATTATCTTGCATTTAGATAAAATCGTCAACAGACGCCAAAGCCACCTGTGGGTGGAGGCGGAATTACAAGAGGTGTCGAAACGTGTTAGCACGAATTGGAGTTTTTCTCCTCGACATATTTCTAGATTTGAAAGCAGGAGAGTAACTTTCTCTTTCGGTGTCACTGAATGCTGTCCTCGTTCTTCCTAGTCATCTGCTCGACACTGCCAGCCAATCCATTTGTCGCCCACATTCATCAAGCAGCCTGGATGGCGCAGGCAGCGGTGCTCAACGCGCGCAAGGAAAGAGTGAAGCGGACGAGTGCGCGCAGTCTGCCCTACAGATCCACAGTGGGCAGAAGGAAAAACACAGGAACCTGCGAAGGGCTCTTAAACGCCATCATTTATGAATACCAGTTGTGGGTCTGAGCCTCTTGCGTCCCCAGCATCCGAGAAACCATACCCATTCGTAAACCGTGAGACAGTCAGGACCAAATTAATTTTTAAATTGTGATGGTTCGTGATCGTTTCAGTTTTGACAGAAAGAACAATAGGATGTGCGTGCTTTTGCATATATCTGATGAGCTGTGCCGTGGGACTGCTGAAGTGAGTTTTTTTAAGCCCCAGGAGCCAGGGGAGCGCGAGCAGCGTGGCGTGGCTGGAGCCCGGGTTCATCTCCAGGACGTTCCTGCCATTTTGCCTAATTCACCCCTCGCGGCTCCTGGCGCTGCTCTGCCTCGCAGCCGCCGGGAGCTCATCCGGCGCGCCAGCGCCTTCTCTGTTGGCCTCAATCAAAGTCCGGGCGCTTTCTCAAGAATCCGCCGGTCCGCTTGTCTTGCAGACCAGCGCGAGGGCTCCCCCAAGCATCAGCACCTGTCTCTGTCCTCAGCCTCTCAGGGATCCAGCTCTACGCAGCCCACCAACACTGCGGGCGACGGGCCGTGGCACCTGCTTTTCCGGCGCGCGTGGCGCGGCTCACTTTAAGCCGGGCGCGGGGAGCTCTGCAGAGGCGCCCTCGATGGGCACCGACGTTAGGGGGCGCGAGCGCGGCTCTGCCAGCGCCTAGGAGCTGGCGATGCTGGAGACGCCGAGGCCAGGTCCGCGGCCCGGCGCTGCGCGGGAAGGTGGGGGCGGGGCGCTCTCCCCGCCCGCCGATCTGCACCGGCGCGGCCACAGAGCGGGCACGGGGTTGCGGAGAGGGACAGCGGGGAGACCCACTGGGCCGCTCCAACCCGCAGCGGACCGGGTCCGGAGACCTTAAATTAGGCCAGGTCGGAGCCCTGAACAAGAGCGCCAGCAGAATGGGGGGTGGGCGGGTGAGGGGCGGTCTCCGCCCCGGGGGCGGAGCCGAGGCTCCGGCCCGCAGCTTGCGAGACCCGCGGAGATCTGCCGGGGCTGTCTCCTCCCTCCCGGGATTGAGGTCGGCCTCTCGCTCCGCGGGGGCGCGGGGGGCGGCCTCCGCATCCCATTCCTACCCGGGGGGTTTTGGCGGTGGCCACCATGGCGCGGGGAGACGCCCCGCGGGACAGGTGAGTCGGGCCGGCGCGGTGCGTGCGGGCTCGAGAGCCATGGGCGGCGCTACCCGGCTGCCGCTACTGCCCCAAGGCGCCGGGATCCACGCACTACAATTCCCATCAGCTGGCTCCCTGGGCTACCGAGCCCTGGCGGTGGAGGTTGTAGTTCGCGCTCCCGGAGGGCGGCTTGCGAGGCGGGAGGGGCGGCCCAGCCGTGCGTCCTCGGGGTGACCTTCTCACTGATCCCACAGCTACCACTTAGTCGGGATCAGCTTCTTCATCCTGGGACTGGGCACCCTCCTTCCCTGGAACTTCTTCATCACCGCCATCCCGGTGAGGCTTGCCGCGGACTGCCAGCCTCAGGCCACAGCCACCCTCTGTTCCTCCGTCTGTCTGCCCTGGACCGAGGCTCACCAGGCGCGCTCCCCACCGCGCCGCCTTTGACTCCTCTGCATGCCCGTTTGTTGGCTGAAGCACGGAGTCTCAGAGAGAGGAAATGCCTTTCTCCTGGCCAGGAAAACCCGCATCTCAGGGCCAAGGCCAGACCCTTTGGGGGAGTCTGTGACCTGCAAAGGATCTACCACCCACCTCCTCAGTTTGTTATTTCTAGGCCAGTCACCCCAAAAGTGGTTTATGCACTCCTTTGGTTTTCTTTGCAATAGAATTAATTGCATTCATTTATTCAACAAACATTTAATGTGCAATTGCTTTGGACCAGGCAGTAAAGATATAGTGAATTCATAACAGAGGGATGTTAGAAACCCACCTTAGGAACCTTATTCACAAGGGCTATGAAAAAGCAGAAGTGTGGAATGTGCGTTATCTTTGAGATCTGGTTATTCTTATATATGCAGTGTGATAAATTTCTCTGGAATGCCTGGCTCCCTTTTGGGTCCTGGAAACCATAAGATGAATCAGCCTCTGCTCTTGAAAACAATATGGGACCAAAGTTATTAATAATGTAGCATGCCACCAGGGTGTGGTGGCCTGAGCCTGCAGAAGCTGAGGTAGAAGGATTGAAAGTTTAAGCCCAGGGTCCAGGGCTTTGGCTCAGTTGCACAAGTGCCTGCCTGACGAGGCCAGGTCGTGAGTTTGATCCCCAGTACCAAAAAAGTTGCCTAACTTAGTGAAACCTTGTCTCAGAACTTTAAAAATAAATAATTTTTAGGGCTTTTAAAAAAATTATCGAGAGCCAGGCATGGTGGCTCAAGTGTGTAATCCCAGCACTCGGGAGACTGAGGCAGGAGGATTGTTGCGCATTCGAGACCAGCCTGGGCTACAAAGTAAGCTCAAGGCCAGCCTGAATGCATAGCGAGACCCTGTCTCAAAAAGACAAAAAAAAAAAAATTTATCAATACGAGTGCCCTGAGTTCATTTCTCCAGTGCCAGGATTTGGGGAAACATGACACCTGCCATCCCTGACTTACAGTAGAGTGTTTTGGGTCTGCAGGAAAATATTCCTTCTGCTTTGTAAGAGAGGTTTGGGGTTGGGGATGTGTTTTTTGCTGTTGGTTTGGGTTTTTTTTTTTTTTTTTTCATTTTTTGTTTTTATCTGTACCAGGGATCGAACTCACAACCATACACTTGCAAGGCAGGTACTTATGCCACTGAGCTAAATCCCTAGCCCCCGGTTTTGGTTTTTTAAGATAAGACCTACTGTGTTGTCCAGGCTGGCCTTGAACTCACTGGGTAGCCCGGGTTGCCCTCAAACTTGCAGTCCTCCTGCCTTAGCTTCCCTAATACTGGGATTACTCCTAACTTTGTAGAAGAGACTCATAAACTGAGAGCAGAGTGGGCAAAGTATATGTGGGCCTGGGAGGATAGTAGAAGAGGAAAGGGCATTCCAGGTGAAGGCAAAAGATTATTCAAAAAAGACCCAAAGCTTGGGGTCCTAAAGTTTAGCAGAACAGAACAAGGAACAGGGCATAAAAGAGAGGCTGGGATCTGATTCTGAAGGCTCTCAAATGCTGTTCTAAAACCTTGGGACTTAGTGGAGTCCAGTGATGCACACTTGTAATCCCAGCTACTGACACAGGACTGCAGTTTCCAGGCCAACCTCCACAACTTACCAAAGGCCTGTCTCAATACAAAACAAAACAGGCAGAAGAGCTGGGGGTGCTGCCTAGTGCTCTGGGTGCTGCTTAGTGGCAGAGCACTTGTGTAGCTAGCATACACCTAGCCTGGGGTCCAGTCCCTACTATACAACAAAACAAAATGTCTTGGGCCTCTGCCCTGCAGGCAGAAGGTGGGAAAGGGGTTAAGCAGGAAATGACAGGATGTGTTCCAAAAAGAAAGCAGTGGGCCAGTAAGGAAAGCAGAACCTGGCTCAGGGTGAGTATGCATAAATCTGGAGGCTGCTGCAGGGATGAGGGTGGCAGTTTAGCAAGGCCAACACAGGGAGGTTCCTAAGGCTTGGGCTCTGTCCCAGACTTCAGCCAATCAAATCATTGCACATCCAGGGAGCTCTGACCCTGCCAAGGACTGGGGACAGTGCAAGGACAAGGCACCCATAGCCAAGCAATTGCTAGTGTGGCTGGGATGGTACCGTGGGGGATTCCTGATGCTACACCCCCCCCCCGCCCCAGTATTTCCAGGCGCGACTGGCAGGGGTCAACAGCACAGTCGGGACCTTGAGTTCCAACCACACGGGCCCCACAGACGCTTTCAGCTTCAACAACTGGGTGACACTGCTGTCCCAGCTGCCCCTGCTGCTCTTCACTCTCCTCAACTCCTTCCTGTACCAGTGGTGAGACCCTGCCCCAGGCCACCCACCCTTCCCCAACTTGCTCTGTACTGCCCTAACCCCACTGCCCTGCCCTTGGTAGAACCTCTTGCTTGCCTGCCCCTGCTGGGCCTCAGCCTCAGATGCCCTCTGCCCTTTCCAAGCAGCATCCCTGAGGCGGTGCGCATTCTGGGCAGCCTGCTGGCCATACTACTGCTCTTTGCCCTGACAGCAGCGTTGGTCAAGGTGGACGTGAGCCCTGGGCCCTTCTTTTCCATCACCATGGCCTCCGTCTGGTTCATCAACTGTGAGCACTTCTTTCCTCGTTTCCCCAGCTTTTCCCTGGAACATACAGGGCCCAGAAAGGGAAGACCAGCATTATCACCCAGATCCATGAAGAACAAACTGAGACCCAGAGGGACTGGAAAAGTCACCTGCTCCAGACCCCATAGTGACCTAGGACCAGCCCACAGGCCCTACTCCTATAAACCAGGGGCTGAGTCTCAGAAGGAAGGAATGTGGGGTGTTGCATCAGAATACCCGGGGTCCCCAGGAAAGTTCACCTCTGCTCACTGAGTCCACATTTGCCTGCCAGTGCCTCCTCCAGAATGTCCTTGAGGCCACCAGCTTGAGTGGTGGCCCCATGCATGCCCTCCACAGCATTCTGCGCAGTGCTGCAGGGAAGCCTCTTCGGGCAGCTGGGCACCATGCCATCTACCTACAGCACTGTCTTCCTCAGCGGCCAGGGCCTGGCTGGGATCTTTGCTGCTCTTGCCATGCTCCTGTCTATGGCCAGTGAGTAGACATGGAGGGCGGGGTGGCCTCTGGAGTTGGAGGAACTGAGCAGGTGTCTAAGAGGAAGCTGCCTGTGTGGAGAGAAGACTGGGGCTGGGGCTGGGGAGTGAGGCTCTTAGGGAGGCTCTCCAGTGAGGGAGAATGAACAGGTGAGGGCTGGGTTAACTTGGGGCTGCGGTAGGATTCCTAGGGATGACACCGGTACGTGCCAGCAGGATGAAGAAGAGGGCGGTAGTACTGAGATTCAGACAGATGAATTTGAATCTGTCTCACCCTTCACTGACTGGGGTCATTGGACAAGACATTTACCCTCTGTACCATCGTTGCCCTATGTAAATGGTGATAGGCTTCTGCTCGGGTTTAGCAGCCTGCCTAAGGTAAGAGAAAGCGTGTGGCACATAGTAAGAGAAAGTCACAGGTGGAAAGGGTGCTCCTGAGTTTGTCTGTGAAGGAAGAAGGAGAAGCTGGGAGATGGGCAGGAGTTAGAGAACCCCGTGGGACCAGCCGCCTCTCTGCAGCTGAAGTTTCTGTTACAGGTGGTGTGGATGCCCAGACCTCTGCCCTGGGGTACTTCATCACACCCTGCGTGGGCATCCTCATGTCCATCGTGTGTTACCTGAGCCTGCCCCACCTGGTGAGCCTGATACTGGGCTGGAGGACTCACAACAGGGCATCTCAGATGGAGCTCTGAGTCTGAGGCCCTGTGAGGGGAGGTAGAGGACATTTGTACTGGGCCTTGATTTCCCTAAAGGGTTAGCAATCATGGAACCCCAGCCTCCAAGCCAGTAGTGTGGGGAGAGATCCAGAGAATCTCACCTCAGGCACAGCTGACACTTCTGATCCTTGTACAGGAGTTTGCCCGCTACCATCTCACCAAGAAGCCCTCACAGGTGCCAGCTCAGGAACTGGAGACCAAAGCTGAGCTCCTACAGTCTGGTAAGTCCTGGGACCTGCAAGGGAGGTGGCAGACACAGAGGCAGTGTGAGCCAGCTTCTCTGGGAAGGATTGTCCTTTGTCCTTACTAAAACACCCTCCTTAGCAGCCTTGTGTGAGCAGAGGAAGAATATCACACAAGTCATCCCTGATGCCCTTTTGGTCTCTGATTTGCCAGTAGTCCCCTGCTGGTATGTTGTCACTGTTTCACTGATTCTCTTTTTTTTTAATTTTATTTTGTTTTTGATGGCACTGGAGATTGAATTCAGGGCCTTGTGCATGTTAGGTAAGCACTCTACCGCTGAGCTACATCCCGGGCCCTGGTCCCGGTTTCAGTGCTAGAATGCAATCCAAGCCCAGGTTTGTCCCCCCAGAACTACTGTTGTGTTGTTCAGAAAGAACCTGGAGAATATCTAGAAGTAGTAGTCTCCCTTACAAGCCTCTCCATGAAGCCAGGAGAGTTGTTTCTTTTATACAAAGGAGAGGCATTTCTCCACTTAATTGCTTTTGCATCTTTGCCAGAAATCAATTGTCTGGGTTTGTTTGTTTGTTTGTTTTGGTACTGGGGATTGAACTCACGACCTCGCACTTGCCAGGCAGACACTTATGCCACTGAGCTAAATCTCTGGCCCCTAATCAATTCTGTTATGTGATATCTATTTTGACACTTCATATTGGTACTTTGGTAGTCTGTCTATCTTGATATCAATGCCATTTTGTCATGATTGCTGTAACTTTATGACAAATCTTGGGATTGGGGAGGGTTGAAGCTCTAATTTTGTTCTTTTATCAAAGTTGGACTATTCTGAGTCTTTTGTATTTTCACAGAAATGTAAGAATCAAAATGTTAATCTTTATGAAAAATAATGCTGGCATTTTGATAAGGGATTGTGACTTCTGATCTTTATTATTTTCTTGTTTGCTTTTATTTTATTCTGTCTTTTAATTTCTTAAGAAAAGATATGAGGCTATTTCATAACTTTATTCTTTTTTAATAAATGTACTTGGTGTTAAAAGAAAAAAGGAGAGGCAGTAGAACTTCATGCATGCAAACTCTGGATCCAAATGCAACTGAATTTGAATCCACCTTATGTGGCCTTAACACCTGTAGCCTCAGTTCCTAATTTTTAAATTTTGTAAAAATCTTTTTGTTGTTACTGTTTTGAGATGGGGTCTTGGTGTGTAGTTCAAGCTGGCTTTGACTCACTGTGTAACCCAGGCTGGTGTCAAACTCATGGCAGTCCTCCTGCCTTAGCCTCCTAAGTGGGATTACAGATGTATGCCACCACCCCAGCTAGTCTCAGTTTTTTCACTTGCAAAGCAATGGCAATAAGAGAGCACAGTAAAAATGCTTATCCTGTTGCCTGGCACTTGTATGTGCTTAATCATTCGATGGTACATTGCCACCATAAATTCCCGTGCACTTGTGCTAGAGAACGGTCACTTGTTTTAACTGCTGGGAGTTTGCCCTTTTTTGGGCCTAGCTCTCAAGAAACCTGGGTCACAGGCATGGTCGCACCCTTCCCTCTTTCCCCAGATGAGAAGAACGGGATTCCCAACAGCCCCCAGAAAGCAGCCCTGACTCTGGATCTTGGCCTTGAGAAGGAGCCAGAGCCTGAGCCAGACGAGCCTCTGAAGCCAGAAATCCCTTCAGTCTTCATTGTCTTCCAGAAGGTTTGGCTGAGAGACAGTAATCAAACAATGTCCCTGGGAAGAGGCACAGATACCCTCCCCAGCCCTCCCCAGAGACTCTTAGACCAGAATGAAGCCTTAGTAGTCTTTTGTCCACCCCAAGGGTACATGGCAGGTCAGGAACACAGCTGACCAGGCCCAGGTGTCCTGCTGCTGGGCAGGGCTGGGGGAGGGCCAGGCTGTGTGCGGGGCCCAGGGCTGCCCCACCTGCTCACACCCCTGCCTCCGGCTCCCAGATCTGGCTGACGGCGCTGTGCCTTGTGTTGGTCTTCACAGTCACCCTGTCCGTCTTCCCTGCCATCACAGCCATGGTGACCAGCTCCACTGGCCCTGGGAAGTGGAGTGAGTGTTGGGGTACTGAAAAGGATGGGGGGGGGCAAAGTAGGTAGAGGGAACTGGGGAGTTAGGGACTAGGTGAATCGCCAGCCCTGTCTTTCCCCCAGGTCAGTTCTTCAACCCCATTTGCTGTTTTCTGCTCTTCAACATCATGGACTGGCTGGGCCGCAGCCTGACTTCCTACTTCCTCTGGGTGAGCACACCGGGCTGGGTGAGCCATGGTTTTAGGAAGCAGTTGAAGAGCGGAGGACATGAAAGCACAGACAGAGATGACTGTAACACTCCAGTTGGTCTGGCAGTAGAGCACCCCAAGTGGCCCTGGACCGCGCAGGTCGGCACTTGTACTGAGTTCCTCAACAGCAGGGGCCATGTCCAGCTGAGCTCTGTGGCCCCAGCATCCAACCCAGGGCCCAGCTGTCATGTTCCAAGATTGTCACAAAGTGGTTCCTGCACCCAGGGACAGGTTGGACAGGATTCCTGGTTTTTGTATTGCTTCTAGTCAAAAGGTTGTTTCTTTAAGTGAAACTTCCCGAGAAGACACAGTACATGCAGCAGACCAGAGAGGAGGGTGCTAGCTGTCCAGCTGCCCACCCTGCTCAGTCAAGCACTAAGTTACAGCTGGACAGAAGAGATACGCACCAGGCGTGGTGGCCCACACCTGTAATCCCAGCACTCAGGAGGCTGAGGCAGGATTCTTGCAAGTTCAAGACCAGCCTGGACTACTAAGTGAGCTCAGGGCCAGCCTGAACTGCATAGTGAGACCCTATCTCAAAAAGACAATAAATAAATACACTTGGCGTACTGTGCAGTAGTTTTGTGCAGTAGCACAGTAGGGTGACCATAGATAACAATACTGCAGTGTATGTTTCCTAAAAGCCAGCAGACAAGATTTGGCATATTTTTACCACAAACAAATGATACCTGCTGGAGGAGCTGGAGGTAATTGTTCTGACTTGAACATTACACAATGTATGCATGCATCAGAATATCATATGGTATCACACAAGTGTGTGCAGCTTTATCAAAAATTATCATTAAAGGAATTCCAGCTATTCCAAAGGGTTCTGTGGAACCCCCTAAGGCTCCCCTGGGAAGCCAAGTTTGAAAACCATGAACTCTGTCCACGCCCTTGTCCAGTTTTGCAATGCAGAGCGCACAAGGTAGATACTGGGAGAAGCCAAGGCTAGCTCCAGGCTGTCCCTGCTTGCTGAATGGCCTCGGCTCTTATTCCCAGAGGCCCCAGTACTAGATCCCCACTGGCTCATGGATAGGGCAGAAGAGGATGGGGGTGACTGATGGGTCTGTCCTGTAAGTGTCCAAAGTGCCCCTGGAACAGAGACCTAGCCCGGGGACTACGCTTACCTGAGCCTCTGCCACAGCCAGATGAGGACAGCCGACTGCTGCCCCTGCTGGTATGCCTGCGATTCCTGTTCGTGCCACTCTTCATGCTGTGCCACGTGCCTGAGCGGGCACGGCTGCCCATCCTCTTCCGGCAGGATGCCTACTTCATCACATTCATGCTGCTGTTTGCCATCTCCAATGGCTACCTGGTGTCCCTCACCATGTGCCTGGCACCCAGGTCTGGGGGAGCATTGGGGCGCATGCTGGGCTAGGGAGGGGGCTAGCTGTTGGAAAAGGAACAGCCATAATGCGGGGAAGCTGGCCCTTCTGCCCTGGCCAGCCCAGCTGGCTGTGCCGAGGCCTTGCTGGGTCTGAACTGGCCCCACACCTGGAGCTACAGATATACCTACCTACGTAGCCCTGGCACTGGTTCTGGGGCTGCCTCCTTGGGCCTCAGTTTCTCCATCAGTAAGACAGTGAATTGGACTGTTATCTCTCATAGCCCATCTCGCTCCAGAATTCTCTGTTGAAGGAGAACTGGTTTTGGTCAAAAGCAAAATTTGGAGATTTTTTTTTCCTCCAGAAGCAAAGAGTCGAGAATCTCGGGAGAGGAAAGGTAACGGCCAGTTTAGGGACACTCTGTCAACAAGTAAGGCAGTGGAATCTAAAATGCTATAGACAGGCCAGGAATATAGCTCAGTGGCATAAGCACCTTCCTGGCAAGTGTAAGGTCCTGAGTTCAATTCCTGGTACCAAAAAATAAAATCCTGCACAGGCAGCAAAGGCTAAGTGATGGCCTTGTCCTATGGCCTCGTTTTACAAGTGGGTAAAATGAGCTCAGACAGGCCAGATTACAGTGACACAGGGATGAGGTGAGGGCCTTGGAGCTGCTCCAGATCTGGGCCCAGTGTTTTCTAATAGCTCCTACTTCTGTGTGTTCCAGGCAGGTGCTGCCTCATGAGAGAGAGGTGGCTGGCGCCCTTATGACTTTCTTCCTGGCCCTGGGACTCTCCTGTGGAGCCTCCCTCTCCTTCCTCCTCAAGGCGCTGCTCTGAAGGGACCATCAGAACTCTGGGCAGCCCTCGCCTCAGTGCCCTTCTGGATCTGAGATGGAACCAGACCCAAGAGAAAGGATGAGCTGAACTCAGGCCTCCTCTGAACCTGGGCCCTTCACCTGCAGGTGGCCAGAATGGGCAGAAGCTGCTCTCTATCCCCAGCTGGTGACCACTTGTGTTCTGCAAGAAACAATCCACCACAGGGCATCCTTCCCCTCACCAGGGATGAGCTAGGCTGCAGAGGGACAGACTTCATGGAAGCAGGTGATCCGGGAAGATGGCACGGGGCTAGGGCCCTTCCTGCACCTGTTCATCAAGAAGCCACTTGCTGAGCTTGGGAGCAGAGCTGCCTACCTACAGTTTCTGCCATGCTGAGGGTGCGGCTGATATGGCCTCTACCTCCACTGTGAGAGAGAAGTGGAGCCCGGGCAGGAGCTACACCCACCCAAAGCCCAGCAACCCTGGGTATCATTCCCAGCCAGAGCAAAGGATGCTGAGGAAGTTGGGGAGGGAGTATTGAAGATCTGAAGGTGCTTAAAGGACCAGGTTCTGACCCTCAAAACAGTGTTTTCATGGCTAGCACTCCTGTCCTCACTCGAGCCCAGCTGGGCCTGGCTTCCAGAATGACAGTCTGCATGTGCTGACTGCACCTTACAGTTTGCAAAGGATCCCCACCCTACCTCCCTAATCCTTACTGAGACCCTTGGAAGAAGTCGAGCAGAGATTGTGTCTCCCAACTGCACAGGTAGGGAAAGTGAGTCCCAGGAGGAGTGAATGGTCTGGGGTAGAGCAGAGACACAGGCCCCATCGCCCACACCCTGCAGGTGCTATTCCTCCTGCCTGTCACCTGCTTCTTTTCCTTAAGGGGCTTTGGATGGGAGCCCTAAGCACATACTCCACCTTGTCACCCCAGTTCTCCCTCTGACCCTGTTCCCAGGTCTAATTACAGCCCATTCATTTGTATGATGCATTCAGTTTTTCTTTCCAAAGTGCTGGCTCATTTGGCTTCAGCAAGCTGGGTGGCATGGGCTATAGCAAGATAATCACCATGGTAGTTGAAATAATCCACAGGGCAGACCCTCAGGTGGGTTCATTCCTTGGATCACTGTTCACAGATACCTGCCCTGGGCCAGGCCTTGGCTGGCTGGCTGAAAAGGGGAGCTGCCCTGCTTCCAAAGCCACAGGAGACAGAGTAGCCTGTGCTGGGACATGTGAGGGCCTCCAGAAGCTTATTAAGATAGGAGCCCAGAAGACTGCGCTGCTAACACTACCTACGGGACAGGCCAGGCAATCTGGAGGAGACTCCCCAGCTGGGCCTGGAGGGATGAAATTGAGTTCTTGGTTGAGTTGGAGAGACACTCTCATCAGAGGTGCCAGACAATGGAAGGCGTAAACATGGACTGTCCAGTGAGGACTGCTACAAGGGTTCCTAGGGGAGGAGAGAAGGATAGGGAAGGATGAGTGCAGGTTGGGGTCAGGTGATAGAGGGTCTTACGTGCAGCAGTAAGGGGCCTGGCTTCATCCTGCAGCAATGGAGGACAGAGTCAGCTTTGTACTTTACAGGGAGTCACAGGTTGCATGGGGCAAGAGCAGAGAGACCATGGCTGGGTGATTTCCAGCAGACAGAGAGAGGCGGGTCCAAGAAATAGGAGTCCATGTAGTCCTGTGGTTAAGGTCAGAGGCTGGCACAGCGTCCCAGGCTCCAGATCTTTACTTTCTAGCCCTGGGGACCTGGGACCTGCCTAAGCATGAGGCACTGGAGTTCAGACTTGAGATCCTGGGCAAAACCAGAGCTGGAGTCCCGGGACTCTCGGAAGGCTTCCAGACTTGGCTGGACCTTCTGACTGGGACTCGGGGGACAGGGCCAATACTTGGTAGGTCCCCTTCTCCTTCTCTGCCTTTAGAGACAATTGTTTATTGCACCCCCAAAACCCCCTAGACCTTCCAGACCAACTTGGGGCTAGGAGGGTAGAACTGGCAGCCTGAGGAAGCCAACTGGGCTCACTTGTTGCCTGGGTAAATCTCAGAGTGAGCTGAGCAGTGAAGGATGGGACCCAGGAAGAGGACATTCACCCAAAGGTGTCCTTCTGAGGTTACAACCTGGAATTCCATCTTGCCATCTGAAGACCCAGCCCAACCTTCCTATTAGGTCAAGAAGCAGCTGGCTTTTGTTTTTTGGGGTTTTTTGTTTGTTTGTTTTTGAAGGTAGTAAAATACAACAGAACAAGACAGAACAAAGCCAGTCAAGACAATGCAATGAGATTGGTACAGAACTTCACAGCAGGTTACCAGGATAACAGTAATTGGTACCCTAGTGTATCTCATTAGCTTCACAATAGTTGTCCATTCAATCAGGTATAGCAAAATCAAACCAAGAACAGAACACTATAAAACCTATCAAAAAGAATATTGAATAGTGCAAAACAAGCAGAACAAAGCAAAACAGTGAAAACTATATTTGCCTTCAAAGAGAAGATAGAAGGAAATCCCCCCATGTTTGCTATATTGCATACTGTTATCCTCCCAAGAGATGCTCAGACCTCTGGCTCCTAGTTGCTAATGGGTGAGGGGGGGAATGGGATGTCTGATTATCAACCCAAGCTGTAGGCCCACAGGAGACACTGACTGGTTCTCTTCCGGGCTCGCCTGCTGCTCGTTCTTGCCTCGGCCACTTACTAGGAAAGGAGGCGTGTTACTTTCTTGCTCAGTACCCTAAGTTCCAACGTGGCTGGATCTCAGGAGATGCTGACTATAGGTTCTCTTCCAGGCTCGCCTGCAACAAAAGTTGACTTTTGTTATGGGAACAAATACATGAACTTCTAGGCGTGGTGGCACATTCCTGTAATCCCAGCACTCAGGAGGCTGAAGGAGCCAATTGTTGCAAGTTAGAGACCAGCCTGGGCTACAAAGTAAGCTCAAGGCCAGTCTGACCAAATAGCAAGACTCGGTCTCAAAAAAGTATCAAAAAAAAAAAAAAAAAAGAAAAGAAAACTTGGACTAATGTGCTACATCTGTCATCCCTTTCCGATGCCCATTTCCAGCTAGTGCCACCTCCCTAGTTCAGACACATTTCTACCAACAGGCCCAGACTCTTAAACACAGTCAGTTTCAGCCAGTAAACCCTTGGAGGAGGCTCTGTGGAGGGTCAGAAATCTGAAGCCTTATGTCCAAGCTACTGACCATTTTATGACAAGAAAACTAGTTAGCACTTTGGAAGGGGCATGGGGGAGGGAACTCAGGGCCTTTGCCCTGAGCTATATCTCCAGGCCTTTTATATTTTTTAAAAATTTGAGACAGTGTCTCACGAAGTCATTGAATTACCTCACTGAACTAGAACTTGCAGTCTTCCTGCCTCGCCTTCCTATAGTGTTGGGATTACAGGCATCTGTCCCAGCTGGTTACAGTTCTATGTAAGAAGCATTTGAGCCAGGTGTGCTGGTGTACACCTGTAATCCTAGCACTTGACTAAGCAGGAGGATTGCTGCAAGTTTGAGGCCAGCCTGGGCGACACAGCAAGACCTTGTCACAAAAAAAAAGAAGAAGAAGCATTTGGGCATTTGACATGATCTTCTGCTTCCCGACCCATACACCCTGGTACATTAAAAGGAACAGGTCTTGGTGGGGGAGGGTCACTGGCATGACAAAATGGGACATTGCTTTGTGGTCACTGGAATTGTCATACTATTCTAAATGGAGATGGAGCCAAGTAGCATACCTATTTGCTTTCTTACTTTACCTTCTCAGGGCTTCTTGACCAAAACATATTTAGCTAAGATTACCTGGCTGAACCTTGGCTTTTCCTCACATACCTAAAGACTTCGTGAAGCAGAAGCCCTGGGCACTAACATCCCCATTTTACAGATGAGTAAAGGTTCCAGGTTCCACAGGCTATAAGCAGTGACATAGAAAGTTCCAAGGGCTCACCCCTTCAAAGACACTGAGAAGATGAGTAAGAACTGTTAGAACCAACTTCATTGGAACTTAGCTAGAAAATAGTCCAAGCTTACCACAGCAAGTGAATCCTGGATCAGGAAAGAGGCAACTAAAAATGAGAGGAGAGTTTTACAGCATTTTATTTCCCCTTGTCATGCTGGTGGTGGCTGTGAAGATGGGATTCTCAGGGGAGGACCCTGGTCTTTAATTCCAGAGGGAGCAGAGCAAACCTTGTTCTAAAAGAATGGAACTTAGGGGGCTGGGGATTTAGCTCAGCAGCATAAGTGCCTGTCTTGCAAGCAGGCAGTCGTGAGTTCAATCCCTGGTTCAATAAAAAGGAAAAAGACAAAAAAAAAAAAGAAGAAGAAGAAGAAGAAGAAGAATGGAACTTAGCTGTTCAGGCCTGTCCAGGGGCTGCATGAAAGGCTGGTACCAGGCACTCAGGTTTGTTTCGCCAAACTCAAAAGTCTCAGGGTAGAGCCTGGCATAGTACTGCATCCCTATAATCCCAGCATTCTTTGAGGCTGAGACAAAAAGTTGCAAGTTCGGTTCAAGCCCAGCCTGAGCAAGTTCGTGACTTAACAAGACCTTTTCTCAAAAAATAAAAAGGCTGGGGATGTAGTAGCACAAAAGCCCTGGATTTAATCCTCCATACCACAACAAAATCAATCAATCTCAGGACAGAAAGCTTCTACCCAGAGCCTCTGCAAAACAGTGAAAGGCAAATTAACAACTCATGCTGTCTGGAGAAAATATTATAGATAAGACAAACAGACATGCTGAAAAGTCTGGGAGAAAAGCTGGTAGGGAAACCAGAAGTTCCCTCAAATTTCAGGGAGCTGGGCATGGTGGCACACACCTATGATTCTAGCACTGAGGAAGCTGAGGCAGGAAGATTGCTGTGAATTTGAGATCATCTTGGGCTACGTAGTTTAAGATCAACCTGAACTGCATTAAGGAGACCCTCTCTCAAAGAAATTTTCAGGAAATTTAGAAAGTCATTCTCCCATATTACAAGTCTGCCCTCCAGTTCAGATAGTCTATCCTTAGTTTCTTTCAAGCTGTTATGCCAGTCTTCTATAGACTTCTTAGTATCTTGGTAGTCCCTTTGGACCTGCTTCACGTATTCTATGCTTTTCTCTGTTTTCTCCATCAAACAATTCTCCCCTTTTTTTCTGTTCTTCCATTCCACCACCTGTTTTTTCTTGGGTGGTACTTAGCATTTCTCTAACTATTCTGCATACTTCTAGCTTCAGGTCATTGATAACTTCATTCCTGAATTGGTCTATGAGGCTCTCTATATGGTGCCTTATGTGTATTGGTGTGGTGTCTGCTATTGCCTGTTTCTCAGAATTGGGGGCCAAGGAGCCCTTCTTGTTGCTGCCTCTTCCCATGCTGCCTCTTCTTCTCTGTTCCTTATATATGCAAGCTTATATAAGAGGCCCAGCTTCTCTCCCAGTCAGCCACAGCCTGATCGAATTGCGCCAGTTAGGTGTTCCCGCTCACCACTGCGCACCAGGGAGTTACGGACCGGGCAGCCTACGCGTCTCCCCTCCCGGCCACCATCAGGCTCTGGGATCTGGGTTGGGACAGCCTACCAGGTCTGCCGGCAGCGTCACGCAGGCCAGGCACTTTTCACCAATCCCGCCCGAGAGGGGGATGTGTGGCTGGAGTCGCCACCACGCCCTGCTCCCGCAGGACTGCTCGGGCCCAGAAAGTCCTCTGCTGGAGTCAAACTGTGGTAGAGTGTCAGTTTCTCTCACTCACCTCACCACAAGTCAGTGCACGCCTCCCTGCCGTTCGCAGACTCCCATTCCCAGAGCTTCTGCGCGTCTCTCTCCTTGCCGAGCCACTGTAGAGGCAGCCAGCCGCCGTGCGGCGGGAAACCCAATCGCGGCTTACAATGGCGCGGGGTCCAGCCTCCACACCAAGGCTTTTCTGTTCCTGTTTTAGCACCAGGACTGCATTCCAAGTTGGTTTCTCTCAGCCCAGTTCGTTCCTGAGTCAGCAGAGCATATCTCCACCTGCTTATGTCTCCTTAGTCTGCACCATTCCTGGCTTCTGAGCCGAGTCTTTCAGAGAGCCTCCGGTAGTTGCTGTTATCTGTCCGCCATGTTCTCCCGGAAGTCTCCCCAATATTTTGTTTATCAATACAATAAACAGCTGACTGCTCCATAGAAACAATGGTGATCAGAAGGCAGTGGAATAGCATAGCAAAGTTCCAGGAAGAGCTGTCAGCCAAGAATGCTACATCCGGGCAAACCACCTCTCAGAAACGAAGGAGAAGCCTGGTGTGGTGGCACACACTTCTAATCTCAGCACTTTTGAAACCAGGCAGAAAGACTGTGGTTAGCTCCAGGTCAGCCTGGACTACACAGTGAGTCCCTTTTTTAGGGGGGTCCAAATCAAACCAAGAAAAGGAGAAATTAAGATATTCTCAGGTCAACAAAATGGGGAGTTTTGGTTACTAATGGCCCTTTCGTACAAAAAAATGCTAAAGGAAAAAATAAAAAGGATCTCAGACAGTAACAGAAAGTCACATGAAGAAATAAAGAATACCACAAATCACAGGTGTGTATAAAATCCATTCTTTTTTTTTGGTACCAGGATGGAACTCACAACTGCACGCTTGCAAAGCAGGCACTTATGCCACTGAGTTAAATCCCTGGCCCTTAAAATCCATTCTTACTGTATTTTTGGTGTGTAACTTCTCTCTTCTTTCTTATAAAAGACATCCATACAACAATTAGAAATATATTAATGGGCACACTATGAATGAAGATGAAATTTTAGAGTGGGAGGGATGGAGCTGTACAGGAGTACAGTTTTATACATTATTGAAGCGAAGGCGATATTAATTCAGAATATGTTATTAACTTAAGCATTAATCTAATCTCAAATGTAAACACTAAGAAAATATACAGAAAAGCTAATAGGAAAGACATCAAAACATATACTATAAAACAAAAAGAAAAGCCCCACTAAATAGAAAGTAGTAACTAAGGAAATGAAGAAAAATATGTAAGACACATAGAAGACAAATACCAGCCAGGTGTGGTAATGCACACCTGTAATTCCAGCCCTTGGGTAGGTGAGACAGGAGAATTACAGTGATTTGAAGCCCAATAGCGTATCTCACAGAATTAGAGAAAACAATCCGAAAATTCACTTGGAACCAGAAAGAGACCTAGAATAGCAAAGGCAATCCTAGATAACAAAGACAAGACAGGGGGCACCACAATTCCTGATTTGAAATTATACTATAAAGCTACTGTGATAAAAAAAAAAAAGGACAAAAAAAATAGACCTCAAGATCAATGAAACAGATTACAAGATGTAGAAACAACTCCACACATACTTAGCCACTTTATCTTTCACAAGGGTGCCAAACACATTCACTGGAAGAAAGATAGCCTCTTTAACAAATAGCACTGGAAAAATTGGCTCTGCACATGCAGAAGATTAAAAGTTAACCCATATATTTTACCACATACCAAGCTAAAATCAGAATGGATCAGAGATCTTAATATTAAAACAGAAACGTTAAATCTGCTGGAAGATAGAGTAGGTAAAGCTCTTAAAGACATTGGAGTAGGCAAAGACTTTATGAACAGGAAGGATCGCAAAGAATCAACAGCTGGGATCTCACCTTGCTGAAAAGCCTTTACACAGCAAGAGAAACTACCAACAGAGTGAAAAGACAACCCACAATGTGGGAGAAAATGTTTGCCAGTTGTTCCTCAAAGGATTACTATCAAGAACATATAAAGAAGTCAAAAAATCAATCCTCCCAGATTTAAAGACCCAGTCCAAAAATGAATACACACTTCTCAGATGAAA